CGCGACTCCTGGACTGTTGGGACGTGGGGCTCAGAGCTGACAGCCCGGCCCCTGCACACAGTTTCCGGGAGAAAGTGGCTCCAGAAGGACCTTGGGACACCTGGCCAGTGCCAGTTTCTCTCCTGCCCGAGGTAGTGAGTGACAAAGCCCCGAGCGTCAGTTCTTGCCCTGTCAGGCTCAGAACCCGCCGGGCGCCTGATGGCGGAGGAGAGCGTTTCCCGGGGGCCCAAGTCCTCTCTGTATCCCCAAGGATGCTGCCAGGGCAATGGGGCCCCAGGCGATGATGGCACCAGGCCAGGGGATCACTAATGGCTCACAACAGGCTCGGGCAGAGCCTAGTAACAGCCTGATGGGCATGTGACACCATGTGCCTGTCCCTACCTTGAGCTGGGGATCTGCCTCCCACCCTGGGGTGCAGGCTCTGTCTGAGGAGGGGGCTGGGGCCGGGCCAGGCAAGAGAACCCCCAGGTCAGAGACTCCCAGATCAGAGACCCCCAGGCTAGAGACCCCCAGGTTAAAGACCCCCAGGATAGAGACTTCCAGGTTAGAGACCCCCAGGTCAAAAACTCTCCCCAGGTTAGAAACCCCTCCCAGTAAGAGACCCCCCAGATCAGAGACACTCCAAATCAGAGACTGTCCCCAGGCCAGAGACTCCAAGGTCAGAGACCCCCAGGCTAGGGACCCTCGCCAGGTTAGGGACCCTCGCCCAGTGAGATCCCCTTTGCCTGGCCAGGCCCACAGCCCGAGTCAGAGCTGGTGTTTGCTGGACCCGCCTGTGCCCAGCTGCTCCCAGTCCTCACAGCACCCTTGGGGCCCCCTCTCCTGGGCACCCCACGAGCTGCTCCCTGAGCCTTGGCCCCTCGTGCAGTGTAGCCAGGAGGGCTCAGGCTCGAAGTGGTTAAGGACCTGGTGGGGGACACAGGGCTGCTGCCGTCCCGCTCTGCGGCACTGGGGGCACAGCCTCGGAACAGCCGTGGGACAGACGCACCCACCAGGAAGCCAGGGGAGACCCGTTTCCTTGTCCCTGTGTGCCTGGGGATGGTGATCCTGAGGCACCACCCCTGACCGTTGGTAGCTCTTCCCCACACCAAGCACCCGCCGCTCTGGGTTTGCTTCAGATTCGTTTCCCAGGGTGTGTCCCTGAGAACCTGGGGACCCACTGCTGTGCCCCCAAGAACGAGCCAGAGACACAGAAAAGGCCCCAGCCCCCCTCTGGGGCTCAGGAGAGGCACTACTGGGGCTGGAGAGGAGAAAGGGGCTGCGAGGGGCGACAGGACCCCAGACACCCACGTCCTGACCAGTGTGAGGGTGACAGACACCCACACCCTAACCACTGTGTGAGTGATGGACACCTACGTCCTGACCGGTGTGAGGGTGACGGACACCCACGTCCTGACCAGTGTGAGGGACACCCATGTCCTGACCACTGTACGGGTGATGGACACCCACGTCCTGACCAATGTGAGGGGGGTGGACACCCACACCCTGACCATTGTGCGGGTGACAGACACCCACACCCTGACCAGTGTGAGTGTGATGGACACCCACATCCTGACCAGTGAGAGGGGGACGGACACCCACATCCTGACCACTGTGTGAGTGATGGACACCTATGTCCTGACCCGGTGTGAGGGTGACGGACACCCACGTCCTGACCAGTGTGAGGGGGACAGACACCCACACCCTGACCACTGTGCGGGTGCTGACCATGAGAGCTGGGGACACCAAGCTTGAGGACCCGTCACCATTTGAGCAGGAGTAGGAGGGTCAGCTCCAACAGCCGCCCTGACCGCAGGTCCAGGTTCAGAGGTGCCCGGTCCCTTCTAAACTGTTCCCCTAAAATCTCTCCTTCCAGTCCCCATGCTGGGCGGAGTGTCCTGCCCCTGCTGGCACGGAGCGGGCTGGGAGACAGGCAGAACCTCTGGTGCTTCCAGTGGTAGAGGCCCAGGCTGCCCTCCTGTGGATGACAAGGGTTTGTTTCGGTTTGGGGGCCACACCCAGCAGTGCTCAGGGCTTGCTCTGCCATGGCTTAGGGACCAGACATGGTGCTGGGGCTCAAACCCGGGTAGGCCACATACAAGGCAAGCGCCCGCCCCACTATCCACTGTCCTTCCTATGGCTCCAGCCTCTGACCGGGTTTTTGTTTGTTTGTTTGTTTATATTTTCGGGTCACACCTGGCAATGCACAGGGGTTACTCCTGGCTCTGCACTCAGGTATCACTCCCGGTGGTGCTCAGGGGACAATATGGGATGCTGGGGACCGAACCCGGGTCAGCCGCATGCAAGGCAAACACCCTACCTGCTGTGCTATCGCTCCAGCCCCCTGACCGGGTTTTTAAGAAGGTTCTAATGGCTTGGGGAAACTCCAGAGACCGTTAGTGCTCCAGTTTCGTGCTTATGATTTTTTTTAAATTTTATTTTTATAAAGTAGTTCACGATTTTTTATTACATTCAATATTCAAACACCAATCCCACCACCATTACACTTCCCCACCATCATATTTTGGCTCTTTGCATCCAGAACCCCAACCCCTGCCCCAAAGCAAAACCAGAATAATTTATTTTGTATTGTTTGTTATCAGTAAACCGGCTGAAAATGCTCCAAAAACTTTCCTTAGAGGAGAATGTGTGAAGATTGTTGTATTTCACCCAGGGGCCATTGAGCCTTTCTGTAAGAGATTACTAATATGTTGTTAAGAATTGAGCCTTGTGTATGTATGTATGTGTGTGTATATCTTTAAAAATATATTTCCCTCTAAGATTGGTTGCCATCTACTTTATTAGTTTCTTATTTTATAAATTAGTTCCCAATATTTGATTACATTTAATATTCACCAATAAACACCAATCCCACCACCATTACACCTTCCCACCACCAAATTCAGGATATTTCCATCCCAAGCCAATCCCTGTCCCAAAACACAACCGAAAGAATATATTTTGTCTTGTCTGTTATGAAGAACTGCTGAACATGCTTACAGAAAAGTGTTCATATAGGAAACTGTGAAGATTGTTCTGTTTTGGCAGGAGCTAGTAAGACATCCTATAGAATATCACTAACATGTTGATAAAGTTTGGGTGACGTGAGCTTTGGTATCTATGTCTGAAAATATGTATGTATGCATATATGTATATATTTCCTCCTATGATTTGTTGCCTACTGTCTGAACCCCACCAAATACGGCCTGGTAATTATGGAGAATGGGTAGGGAGTGTCTTAGGATGTGTTGCACGGCTGCTTTTGCGGCCGCGTGGTCCAGGAATATGTTCACTCAGATGTGAGGCGTGGCCTGAGCATGTGGGGAGTGGCCTTGAGTGTGGCAGCAGTGGGGTCCTGGAGGTCGGCTGCGGTGCTGGGTCCTTTGGGCCGCGGGGGGCCTCACCCACCCTCTCCCTCTGGGGTGCCATCTCGGGTTTTTGAAACGGGAGATGCTACATCCAGAAGATGCAGCGCTGTGAAGAAATACACCAGGTGCTCTCTGGGGCCAGGAGCCTGTAGCAGGCAGACTTCCCGGGGTGCACGGGGTGACAGCGAGAACGTAACGGGGTTCGTAAGCCCTCCCTCCACCGCACCCCCGCTTGGTTGCGAGTCCAAAGCATCGTCATGGCGCCAGCAGAAGGGTCTGGGCTGTGGGCCCACGAGGGCCATCCGGGTGAGCTTACACATCTGCCTGTGTGCAGTCCCCAAACCTGGGCCCCTGTGGACCCCGGCCCTGGCCACTAGCACAGCACTGTCACCTGTGGGTTTATTCCAGAGTCCCTGTGCACTCAGTGGTCTGGGGGCCAGGGGCGCTGAGTGAGGACCTTCCCATGGGCTCTGGGGTGAAGAAATGCTCTCACTGACCACACAGAACTGACCTGGCAGGTTTCAGAACATTGCAGTGAATTTGTTTCAAGAGGTCTTGTGAGCTCTGGTTCTGTTTTGACAGAATGGGGACAAGCATCCAGTCCTCTGTGTGTGTGTGTGTGTGCGCGCGCGCGCGCTCCTGCATGTGTGCCTATCTTCATCTGTGAGTGATGTGTGTACACCTGTGTGTGCTTGTGTGTGGGTGTGTGCATGTGTGTGTTCATGTTTGCATGCATATGTGCATATAAGTGTGCAGATGTGTGGTGGGTGTGCTGGGGAGTGGACCCAGAGCCTTCCTTACTCATTCAAGACAAGTGATCTGTCACTGAGCTATATTCTTGGCCCTTTTTTGGTGGGGACACAGCTGGTGATGCTCAGGGGTTACTCCTGGCTCTGTACTCAGGAATTACTCCTGGGGGTGCTCGGGGGACCATATGGGATGCCAGGGATTGAACCTGGGTCAGCCATGTGCAAGGCAAATGCCCTCCCTGCTGTGCTATCGCTCCGGCCCCAGCTGTTTTATTCCCCGAGGATACGCATTTCTGATCCCCCAGCACTGTTAAAAGCAGAGTCTGAGCAGAGTCGGGTTGAAGGACTTTGACCAAAGCCGGCGCTGTGCACACGTGCCAGCCCTCCACAGCAGGACAGGCAGTCCCCTGGGATTCTCCAGCCCGCGGACCTGCCCGGGGTCAGTGGTGGTGGGGCCCACCTGTCCATCTGAGTCCATCCGTCTTTGCCGAGTGGAGGCAGAGACATTGTCACCCTGGGTGGGAGAACCGTGGGACGCGGGATGGCCTCACCCACCAGCACTTTCCTCAGCCTCTCAGCTGGCAGGAAGCAGCTTCATCCCAGCGAACTGAGCAGAGACCAGCTGGCGCCCTGTAGGGAAGGGCTGGTGTGTATCATTGGAAGGGGGAACCCCAGCCCGATCCCCCAGAACCAGGGAGGTCACTCCCAAGCGCCCTCCCTCAAAAAACAAACCCGGAACTAACCCCGGGAATGCCGAGCACAGCCGCCACGCGGATGCCTGGGCCCCCTGAGCCCGTCGTCCTCCAGCCTCATGCCGTGTCTTTATTTCCACAGCCCGTTCCTGGCGTGTTCTGTGGCTTGAAGCGATGTCCCCTCACAGCCTTTCTTGTCCCCCCGACTGCAGGCACAGAAAAATGAGAGGGAGTCGATCCGGCAGAAGCTGGCACTGGGGAGCTTCTTCGATGACGGCCCGGGCATCTACACCAGCTGCAGCAAGAGCGGGAAGCCCAGCCTGTCCTCCAGGTGAGCATCTGGTGCCAGCCCCAGCCACGGCGCTGCCCCCGGCCTAGGTCCGGCCCGGCTGCTTCTCCTGTTGGCCAGGGCTTATGTGAGGGGCTGCAGGTTTTGTCCCATTTGTCCCACTGGCCGTGGGGGTCAGGTGGGGGAGGGTCGGCTTTTGGTCTCAGTTCTTCTCAAGACGTTCCTGGTCGGCAAGGTGCTGTGGGGGTCCCCACTTAAGGGAACTGGCTGGCGCTTGTGCAGAGTTGTAGGAGGCCCACCCCACCCTGCTGTCCTCCTCCATCGGGTTGGCCCCCGGGCCCAGCCCTGCTCCCTACCCACTCCACCGAGTTTCTGCACGGCTCCGGGTGCGAGCCCCCATGTGGTAAACTGAAGGGGCGGCGTGGTAAGTGGCCACACCCAGCGCCCTGACCGCTCCTCGCTCACAGCTGTGTTCTGGCCTCGGGCTGTGGGGAAGGCGTCGGTGGGCTCGGGGACACTCGTGGGCCCGGGCGCCCGGAGTCTGCAGAGCCAGGCGAGCCCAGCTGACGGCGCTGCTCCTAAGCTCCCTGGCCCGTCTGCCGTTCCTGCAAGTTGGTCATGGCATATGCCAGCTCTGGGCTGTCTTTAGGAGACTCCGTCTGACATCGGGGTCTCCTCTTGGAGACTGTCTGTCCGTCTGACTTCAGTGCGCCTGCCCAATGTTCCGGAGACTTGGTTTTGTTCACCGGGTGGGGAGGACAGAAATTCACTGGACTTCCCGCCACGTCCCCTCCCTTCAGAAGTGTCTGACCCAGGCTCGTAATCACATTTCTGTTTTCTTTTTCTTTTTTTTCAATCTTTATCTATTTATTTGGTTTTTGTGCCACTCCTGGGGTTGCTCAGGACTCCTTCCTGGCTGTGTGTTTGGGGATCACTCCTGGCAGGGCTCGGGGGACCATCTGGAGGGCCAGGGATTGAATCTGGGTGGGCCGCGTGCAAGGCCAGCACCCTCCCCGCCGTAGCGTCGTCCGTGCCTGTTCTCCCCTTGTGCTGTGGTGTTGAGTTTCTCAGCATGTTGTATGTCGCATGGCTGTTGCCCAACTCTCCTCACGCCAAATCTTCATGACCAAACTCCTGGCTGCAACATAATTCACTCCCATTACACTCACGGTCCCCGCTTTCTGCTGTCTGGTGTCAAAAGCATCTTCTTCCCCAAGGCCCAGAAGACATTAACCTCAATTTCCTGCCCAGAGCTGCAAGCTATTCACTTTTTTGCTAAGTCTTGAGCCAGAGGGACCTGGCATGGGGCGGTCTCGGCTCTCTCCCCTGCTGTGTCCGCGCTGTGTGTGGGGAATTATCTGATGTCCTGCTCTGGCTAGAGGACCTGGCCAGGGGTGTGGGACCCACCGGCCACAGGGGTGCACGGCTCCTGGACAGATGTTTCTCTCCCTCCAGTGGTGACTCAGAGTAACTGTCAGTCGAGCTTTTTTTTTTTTCTTTTTCTTTTTTCTTAATTTTCTTTCATTTAAATTTTATTTTCTGTTGGATTCATTTGTTTGGGAAACCAAACCTGGCCGTGCTCAGAGGTCGCTTCCGATAGTATCAGAGGTCACTGGCGGTGCTGAGGACCGAGCCTGAGTCTTTGTGCTCTGATCCTCGAGTAATTTTGAAATCATTGAATCAAGTTTCTTAACGTCGAGTTCCTTAACGTCAAGTTCCTTACCGTTGTCTCGGGACTGGGCTGGGATTGCCCGGGGTGGAGGAGTCAGTCAGGAGTCAGGGCAGTTTATTCACACCTGGAAGCTTCCCAGCGCAAGCATGGGCCTGCCTTTATTTACATCTTCCCGAATATTCCTGCGGAAGCTTTCGCAACCTTCCATGTAAAGTCACTGACTGTCCATCTTTGTCCCGTTGATTTCTGGATACTTGATATTCCGTAGGGCCTCCGGCCCCTTAAAAAGTCACTCTCTGCTCATCATCCTCCCGATTTCTCTGCCCCCCTCCCTTCTAATAAGCCTGCTTGGGGGCTTAGGGGGATTTTTAAGCAATATCATCTACCCTCCCCGCCAAAAAAAAAAAAATCCCTCGAAGCTTCTTGTCTCGCTTTCCAGTGCCTGCTTTTCCCTATTCATTGCACTGTCTGGGTCCCCCCATACCCTAGGGTTTAAACTGGTGGTAATTAAAATCGCAGCTCATCCTTTGTATTTATTTTTTGGCAGGAGTGTCACACAGGTGCTCCAGCCATCCTGGGGATACTGGCCCAGCTTGCTGTGCGGCTCGGCCCTGCGGTGCTGGGGATCCCTGTGGCACCCGGGCATGGGCACCCCCAACAGTAGGCATTTGTGGTCCCAGGGATTGAACTTGTATCAAACTCACGCTGGGCATGCGTCCAGCCACTGGACCAGCTCCTGGTTCATGTCCCACACTGAATGGAACGTACCTCCTAATTCCCCATTGATAACGGGGCTCCGATGGGTGGGAGCAACAGCACAGCAGGTAGGACGCTAGCCTTGTATGCTGCTGATCCTAGTTCAATCCCTGGCATCCCATAGGGTCCCCCAAGCACCATTAAGAGTGAGTCCTGAGCACAGAGCCAGGAGTAACCCCAAAGCATCACTGGGTGTGACCCAAAAAACAAAAAAAAGGGGGGGGAGAAAAGGAGGTCAGAGAGGTAATATAGGAGTTAAGTGCTTGGGACAAACCCCAGTTCAGTCTTTGGCAGCTTAAAGTGGTCCCCTGAGTGCCACCGGGAGAGACTCCTGAACACAGAGCCAGGAGTGAGTCCTGGCAGGGCCCAAAACTCAAAAAAAAAAGGGGGGAGGGAGTTGTTATTGTTTCGTTTTATGAGATTAGTGATATTTCTTTATATTGATAATTTACGAAGGACTTCTACATGCCAGGGTATTTAACTATCGTGTTCTTTCCTGCACCTGTTGAGATAATTGGATGATTTGTTCTATGCATCTTTTCATGAACTGCATTTCCAAACATTAATAATTCCTACATACCTGATAGAAACCAGGATTGGTTAGAAGTATTTTTTTTTCATACACTACGAGGGCTGGAGCGATAGCACAGCGGGTAGGGCGTTCGCCTTACACGCGGCCAACATGGCCGACCCGAGTTCGATTCCTCCGCCCCTCTGGGAGAGCCCGGCAAGCTACCGAGAGTGTCTCGCCCGCACGGCAGAGCCTGGCAAGCTCCCCGTGACGTATTTGATATGCCAGACACAGTAACAACAAAGTCTCCAATGGAGACGTTACTGGGCCCGCTCGAGCAAATCGACGATCAATGGGAGGGCCTTTACCTTTACCTTTTACGAGGTATTGCACTGCACTGTAGTACTGCCCTCCCATTGTTCATCAATTTGCGTGAGCGGGCACCAGTCTCCATTGTGAGACTTCTTGTTACTGGTTTTGGCATATCGAATATGCCACGGGGAGGTTGCCAGGTCTTGCCGTGTGGGCAGGATACTCTCGGTAGCTTGCCGGGTTCTCTGAGAGGGACAGAGGAATCAAAGCCAGGTCGGCCTCGTGCAGGACAGATGCCCTACCCACTGTGCTGTCGCTCCAGTCCTATGAAGTATTACTTATAAAAATCATGATATTGTTTAGAAGATCAATTTTTTTTTTTTTTTGCTTTTTGGGTTGCACCTGGCGATGCACAGGGGTTACTCCTGGCTCTGCATTCAGGAGTTACTCCTGGCGGTGCTCAGGGGGCCATGTGGGATGCTGGGAATTGAACCTGTGTCAGCTGCATGAAAGGCAAACGCCCTACCCGCTGTGCTATCGCTCCAGCACCTAGAAGATTAACTTTTATTTGTAATATTTATTGAGCTTTTCATATGATACCCTTATTTATCATTTTGATATTTTTATGTTTTATTTTTGGTCTGGGGGCCACACCCGGCTGTGCTCAGGGACAACTCCTGCCTCGGTGCTCAGGGGTCCGGTGATGCTCAAGGGACCATGCGCGTTCCGGGGCTCAAACCCAGGCTTCCAGCGTGCAAAACTGCGTCCACCACTGAGGCACCATGCCTACCCTATAAAACACAAGTAGAAAGTAGAAAATGCAAGCCAGCTCCCAGCAGTCCCGTAAGGACATGCCAGCTACTTGCAGCAAAGGAATTTTTGGTGCTGCTTTATAGCCCCAGGAATTAAATTGGACTGGTACTGAAACGTAGCCAATATAAGAAGAGCTGCATTCCCCCCCCCCTCTGAAATTTGCTAATCCACGCACAAGGAGCCTTTTTAAGCTGGGACGGGATGACCTTTGTCATTTCTTCTTTTTCTCTTTAAAATTGTGTCTGTGAAAGGATTTTTCAGAAGCTTTAGAGGAAATGAGGAAAAAAACATGAATTGCCTATTTCTGAAATAAGATTTCGAAGAGATAGTAGAATCATTCATGCTCTTTAGAAAATGAAGTTTCTCTTCTTTCTTCCCATGTATGATGCTCTTCTACAGAAGCCATTTCGCTGACCAAATGTATCTTAAATGAGCATTTTGGATTCTGAGCTCTCTAGCATCAGCTCATTAAAGGTAATGTAAGCTGGGCTGGAGCCATAGGACAGCAGGGAGGGCACTTGCCCCGCGCACGGCCCGCTCAGGGCTGCTCCCCGTCATGAGTGGTCCCTGGGCACTGGCGGGTGTGGCCCCAGCTCCCAAAAATAAACCCCTGGGGCTGGAGCTGTAGCCCAGTGGGTAGGGCATTTGCCTTGCACACAGCCAACCTGGGTTCGATTCCCAGCATCCCATATGGTCCCCCAAGTTCCTGAGTGCAGAGCCAGTCGGAACCCCTGAGCATCACTGATGTGACCAAAAAACAAAAAATAAAAATAAACCCCCCAAAGGTGCTTGGGACTTGGCCACCCTGAGGACGTACGGGAGGCTTGCCATAGTCTCCTGCGATCTTTCTTCATAGGTGACGTTAGAACCAGCTCTCGACCCTCCTTGCCATCCACGCCTCTCCTCCCATGCCCTCTCTGTCCTTCTCCAGTATAAGTTTGATGTGCGTGTACCTATAAATACAGTTGAATATCCTTG